CCTATTCCAAGAGGCAGTGACGGTTCAAATATACCACCAGCTGTATATTTAGTGCTGACTGTACCAATAGTGTCACCATTAATTAACAAATTAATAATAATAACACCATTAATGATACTACTATTGATAGACTATACTATATCCCAGTTGAGTTTGGGACAAGAAAAACTGGAATAACTTTTTATAGAAAAGTGAGATAAGGATGAAACTTTCACAGGTTCTTAGTCACCAAAGTCCATCAAAATCTGTGAAACCTTGGGTCTCTCAGCCCTTGGGAACCCTGAAAACGGGGTTCTCCCTATAAACCTAATGGCATACCAAAGCTAACCGCAATGACGTTTCATGATGTCATAGTTTACATAAGCACATGTGGTCGAGCGCCCAAACTGATAATTCTTCTTTTAAAAAGCTAAAGCCGGATTTACAATATGACGCTAGGCCAACGTAACGTCAATTTTTAATCAAAAGCGTAGGCGATTTGACCTTTTCACGCATGCTTCACGCTGGAGTTGAACAAGATTCAACTTCTGCGTCAACGTAACGTCAGGACTAGCGTCATATTGTAAATCCGGCTTAATAGAGCAAGATTTTCTGATAATCATGGCCTTTATGAAAACTAGTTGACTCCAGCAGCTATTGTACTGCTTATCAGCAGCAGCAAGACTGTTTTAAGAGTGAAACAACACAGCCGCCATTCCTCTATGAATATCATTATTTACATCATTACATAGCTACATTTTTCAAATTCCACGCAGCTGCTTCCACTTCCGTCCCAAACTGAACTGGGATATAGTATACAAGAGAGAAAGATAGCGTTACTATTTATAGACTACATGCATTAATAATGTTACTATTTATAGATCATACTACATGTTCATACAATGTTATTCCATGTGTTTATTGCCAATGGAGTATCTGCTGATACATGTTCGTCTGATCCATTCTCTCCTCTTAATCTCAAATCAATGATTCCGTTTGATATTAACGCGATACTGATACTAACACCTGATTTTGATGATACCGTAATCACATGACCGTCACCTGATAATCGTCTCAAAGAGAAACTCAAACTCCACGTACTATAAATGAAATAACATTACAGCACATATAAATGATACCATTCCTGGTTCCCATACCTTCTCCTCAATGACAGTCCATTGTAAGAAAGCAGTGATGAGTAAGTGTGGAATCCACCTACTGTACCAGTCAATTCAACTGGTTTACTGATGAAACAGGATCGATCCTAAGATAATGAAATATAATAACTTTCTAGGATA